TTCCCTTCTATTTTATAAAAACAGTAAAAATGAATTTGAAAGCAAATTAAACGTACTGGATCAGCTAATAATATATAAATATTAATTTAAAAATATTGGAACCAATTTCATAATTATAAAATGTTATTAATTTTCAAAATAGGCTAAAATTGCAATTATATGCAATTTGACTTTTAAAATACTAAATAAATTGTAAAAAATGTATAAAAATTACCTTAGCTATAATTTGGCGTAAATGTGGGAATAAAATAAATTATTCACCGGAAATTCTCAATTTTCGGAATAATTATTGATTTTGGTACTTCTAAAATGGACAATAACTTGATTTAAAAATCTTTAAAAATTGGAAAAAAATACTAAAATACTTGGTCATACTTATATATGAATATATATAGTATTTTGAAATTATTTTGCATATAAAAAAATATACAGGGAAAAATTGGGTATCAATACGGCCTATCCCTAGCCTCTGCGGGGATGTCAAGTCAAGCCGTCACATCTCCATATTTCGTATATTAAATATACATGTATTCCAAGTTTCTTCTCCTATATAAAGGGGACTCGCCTACCTTGTGATGGACTGATGTTGCTCCCACAATTCTATAAAGTGCAATAATCTCTCTCTCTCTCTCTCTCTCTCTCTCTCTCTCTCTCTCTCTTTTCTTACAAAAGCTCATTGGTTCTCACTAATACTGAGGATACCTGTAACGACTCGGCCGGTCGTTTTTGGAATTTATGCCCCGATCCCTGTTAAGTGATTTCCCCAAGTTTATTTCTGCTATTTTGATTTGCCGGGATGTTCGATTTTGAGTTTCGGAGAGTTTTGGGACACTTAGCCCCTAAATGAGAGCTTAAGTGTTGGAAAACAGACCATAGTCAGAACAGTGTGAAGACAGCCCCGGAATGGAAATCCGATGGTTCCTTCAGCTTCGTTAGGTGATTTAGGGGTTGGGAGCGTGGTCGGATTGTGTTTTGGGGGCCCGTAGCTAATTTAGGCTTGAAATGCCGAAAGGTCGAATTTTGAAGTTTCCGGTTCGATAGTGAGATTTTGATCCGAGTGTCGGAATGGAATTCCGAGAGTTGCAGTAGTTCCGTTATGTCATTTGTGATATGTGTGCAAAGTTTCAGGTCATTCGGACGTGATTTGGTTAGGTTTTTGATCGAAAGCGTATTTTTAGGGAATTTGGAGTTCTTAGGCTTAAATCTTTGATTAATTCGGGTTTCCGGTATTGTTTTAGGTGTTTTAAGGATTGGTACAAGTTGAATAGGGTATTAGGTGATATTGGTGCTCTTGGTTGAGGTCCCGGGGGCCTCGGGATGAATTTGGATGGTTGACGGAAGGATTTTGGAAGTTGGGAGATTTCAGATCTTTGCTGCTTCTGGTATTTTCGCATCTGCGGTTTGGGGACCGCAGATGCGGCTAAGTAGACCGCAGAAGCGGGTTTAGGTTGGTTCAGCAGTTTCCGCAGATGCGGTGGATTTTTCCGCAGAAGCGGATCCGCATCTGCGAGATTTGGACCGCAGGTGCGGAAATTTGGCCTTTTAGTGAAAGTCGCAGATGCGACCTGAGTTCCGCAGAAGCGGGACCGCAGATGCGGTCCCTTGACCGCAGAAGCAGAAATCTCTGGGCAGAAATATGAAATTCGAGGGTTTAGTTTCAAAAGTTAGAAAAATCAAATTGGAGCTCGGGAGAGGCTAATTCTGAGAGGGATTTGAAGAGGAGATCATTGGGTAACGTTTCTTTAACCCTTTCTAGTTATATTCTATCAATCTTTAGTTAATTTCATCATTTGATTTTGGAATTTTGGTGGAAATTGGGGGAAAAGTTCTTAGACCTTTAATTGAGGATTTGAAGGTTCATTTGGACTCCGATTTCTGTGTTCTTGTTATGTACAGACTCGTGACAGTACGAGGTTTCTGAAAATATAAATTTCACCTGATTCCGAGATGTTGGCCTGAGGGGCATTTTGGTCATTTTACCTAATTTCGCGTCTTAGCTTTGAATTAAATCGTAGAATCAGTTACTTGAGATGTTATTTACGATATGTAATTGAATTGAATAGATTTGAGCCATTTGGAGTCGGATACTCGTGGCAAACGCGTGGTTTCGAGTTGATTTGAGCTTTATTCGAGGTAAGTGGCATGTCTAACCTTGTGTGGGGGACCTTCCCCCCTTAGGATATGATATTTGGTAATTGAATGCCTTGTACGTGAGGTGACGAGCGCGTATTTGAGCTAATTGTTAAAAATCCGGTTTTACTTTAAGTATTTCGACTGAGTTCTTTTCTTACTTGTTCTATTCTACTTGCAAACATCGCATGTGTTAGTTTAGAAAAGCATGCTTAGTTGACTTAATTGCCTATTTGCTTAAACTGCCTTATTTGCATTACGTGAAGCATGTTACTCTATCTGTAGTGTTAGCCCTTCTATCGTACTATTGATGTAGATGTTTCTGGAGATTAGAGCACTTTACTGTATTCTTCTTAGCTTGTGTTCCCGTGAGTTTCCGGGTTTTGGGATAGAAATGTAGGATGTTGTGATGTGGAGTTATATATGCCGAGCGGCATTTTATATACTGTTTCTCCTTTAAATTGTTTAGTTTTGACTATTATTCCGCAAGTTAGTTATGTTTCCGCATTGTTAGGCTTACCTAGTTGTAGAGACTAGGCGCCATCACGACATGTTCACAGTGGGTGAACTGGGGTCATGACAAGTTGGTATCAGAGCTCTAGGTTCATAGGAGTCACGGAACACAGGCCAGTTTATTAGTGTCTCGCTGATCGGTACGGAGACGTCTGTACTTATCTACGGGAGGCTATGTAACTGTTAGGAATATTCCACCTCATTTGATTTCCTTGTCGTGCGAGATTCTTGATATCACAACTAAATTTCTGTCTTTCCATTCTCTCACAGATGGTGAGGACACGCGCTACCCGAGAGGATCAGGCACCCGCGCCCCCTACTGCAGCCGTCAGAGGCCGGGGCCGGGGTAGAGGCCGAAGACGCGCTCGTGGTGCAGCCAGAGCACCCGCGTGAGCTGCCGCCGAGGTACAACCAGCAGTACCAGCCGGAGTCCAGACACCCGATACGTCTGCCACTACTACTCCAGCACTCTAGGAGACTTTGGCACAGTTCATGAGTATGTACACCACTTTGGCTCAGGCAGGGTTGCTTCCCCTTGCTGCAGCCACATCCCAGGCCGGGGGAGGAGTACAGNGGATCGAGGTGCGGGAGTACCAAGACGATCCCCGGCACGTGTATTGAGGATACCAAGAGATCCTCGGGATACCAAGAGATCCCTGGCATATGTGTTGAGGATACCAAGAGATCCTCGGGATACCAAGAGATCCCTAGAGTGTATATTGAGGATACCAAGAGATCCCGATTATTTATCTTGCTGTGAGGGGTATTCCTTGTAGTTGTTTTTATCTCTGTTTCCGTTATTGCACTATTATTATATTGTGTAGATCTTTATTATCGATTCTCAGTTTTACTGCTTATTGCCCTGTCATAACATTATATATATATTTATCTCAGTAGGGCCCTGACCTTCCTCGTCACTATCCAACCGAGGTTAGGCTTTGCACTTACTGAGTACCGCTGTGGTGTACTCATACCCTTTCTGCGCATGTTTTTGATGTGCAGATCCAGGTACTTCTACCCAGGCGCATCATCCTTGAGGTAGGGAGCATTTCGGAGACTTCGAGGTACATCTGCCGCGTCCGCAGACCGAAGAGTCTCCTTCTTTACTCTATCTGTAGTGTTAGCCCTTCTATCGTACTATTGATGTAGACGTTTCTGGAGATTAGAGCACTTTACTGTATTCTTCTTAGTTTGTGCACCGGTGAGTTTCCGGGTTTTGGGATAGAAATGTAGGATGCTGTGATGTGATATGCCGAGCGGCATTTTATATACTGTTTCTCCTTTAAATTGTTTAGTTTTGACTATTATTCCGCAAGTTAGTTATGTTTCCGCATTGTTAGGCTTACCTAGTTGTAGAGACTAGGCGCCATCACGGCATGTTCACGGTGGGTGAACTGGGGTCGTGACAATACCTCGATATCCTTTGCCTCTATACATGTTCTTCATTTTACATGTGTTCTTCATCGTACAAACTCAATTTCGGTTGTAAATAGCTTCGTTCATTTATATTTCTAGCTGTTAGATTACTCCCGAGGTCGACCTTGAAGTCCCAATCGAAAAAGCTTACGCCCGGGTAGCAGACCCTTTGGTCCGCTCGTTACCTCGTTTATCTCCCCCCC